TATTATAAAAGAAAAAATATATAATAAAACTATCATATAATATATTTTTATTTTTATATATTTTTATTATATTTTTAATATAATAAAATGATTATTTAAAAAATTATAATTGCAGCCGAGCTTAACTTAGACTGAATATTTCTAAATATCTAATTAAGGATCACACATATCTGTATAAATCTGAAATGTTCTACGCTAGTTGATTTCCTGTTATGTTATGATATCCTATTTTACAGTCATGGAAGAAGGGCTGATTCAGCATGTTACTGCAGTGCAACTTTGGAAACCTATTCATTGTGTACAATCAGATTTTAACACAATTTTCTCTCTGTTGATTCCCATTCCTGTCATGATGTGAGCCACAGAGGACTCAGTAACGACTTGAATTATAATACACACCTTGGTGATAAATTGCTTTTTGTCAACACTAATTATATATCACTTGCCTCCAGGATAATACTGATACTTTTGGGATTTTTCTTCCAGTTTTGCGGCGTTTTCCTTTAATTCTTGAAAGGATTTGGGGGGAAAAACTACACAATTACAAAACATACACAAATGAATGGTTCTCAACCCAGGCCCTGTCTCAACTGGCGACTTAATGTATTTATCTGATTTCTTCCCCAGAACTGCACACCTCATTCATGCTTGTAATTACTTCATAAGCTCGAGGCAATTTGATCCAGACTGGTTGAAAAGTGGGAAAACAGTAAATTAGACCTTTACATGGACCGTTGCCCCGAATGAAAGGATTTTACGGCTCACACCTGTCCGTCCACTATCACTCACCTGGTGTCAGCGGTTAAGGTGAACACATTGTTCAGGTGATCCCTGAGGCAGGCAGACACTCCCAGCACACACAGGGCCATAAGCTTGGGGGAAAAAGAGAAGAAAACTTGAAGGTACTTGAGCCACGATTAAACATGGATATCCTTATTTTTGACAAAGATAATACAAGCAAGAAAACATTTTCCAAAAACATTCTCCCCCAAAAAGTTTTGATTATTGTTTTAAAGGGGTCATATGATGCTTTTTTAAAGATCATTATTTTGTGTATTTGGTGTAACAGAATATGTTGACATTCTTTAATGTTCAAAAAACACATTATTTTTCATATACTGTACATTATTGTAGGTCCTCTATGCCCCGCCTCTCTCAAACGCTTCGTTTTCTACAAAGTCCCTCCTTCCGACAAGCGCAGTCTGCTCTGATTGGCCAGCTGACCCAGTGCATTGTGATTGGCCGAACACAGCAAGCACTCGTCGGAAATGTAACACCCCTTACCATAATCGCGAGCTTCATCTTTCAAAATAAATGCAAAGACAGAGCCCGAAAGGGGAACAGAGTCGCGTGGCAGACACAGTGATGAAGCTGGTATGTGTGCAGTACACAAGCCACGGTTAAGACAGCTGACTCCACTGTGATCTCTCTCTCTCACACACACGATGCGCAAAACTCCGCATTTGAACAGTCAATAGCAAATACTTAAACTAATAACAAAACAGTAGCTGATTCAGAAGCGCCAGATTGTCATAGCAAAGTCAGAATTACCTCCTCTCCTAGGTTCACGAAACGGTCGTCCATAAAATGCATTGCTGTTCTGTTGTAAGTGATCTTAAAGATTCCTAAATGCATCTACTTCCGGAAGGCCAAATAAAGTGCTTTTGCTTTCGCCTAAAAACACAGTGTCTCCCTGACATGGCTGCATCAACACTAACTTGAAATCGCATCATATGACCCCTTTAATATTTGTTTCAAGATTTAATCTATTATATATTTTATTGTTAACACTTTACAATAAGGTCTATTAGATCATGTTAATGCATTAACAGTTAGCAATACCTTTGTTACAATATTGTTATTTATACTTTAACTTTTACTTAATACTTTTTTTTTGTAATTTATATATATATATATTACAACTTTTGATTTTATAATGTATTAGTAAATGCTGAAATTAAAATATGAGATCAATAAAGTATTTTTAATTGTTAACTGGTTTTAATTGTTTCTGGCTGCCAAATATTAGACTTCATACAGCCACTAAAAATCCCATTTGGACCACCTGGTAAAAATTGGCATCCTTTGCTTACAGATGTCATTTGGTTTGACTGCGTAATGCTTTAAAATTCATGCATTTTAGTTGTGGCTTAGTCTTTGGAGACTTTAGACAAAAAAGGTACATAACTGGAGTCATATGTAGCCTACCTTTTCGAATTTGTAGGTGTAAATAAGTTACAAAGATGTACCTTTTAGCTTTTGTATATTAGGATATTGCCCCAGTGACAGCTTTGTACAGCTTTTTTTTTTCCTGAGTGTATTAAAAAACAAGCAAGCATTGCATTGATCTGTATTTGTGTACTTGGTTGGCTTTGAAACCTATTTAGGTACTGTGCTATGTTTGACATGCTGCAATATTACTGGCATGAGTTTAGTTTGCCCTACGCAGGCATTCTTGGTCTAAAAACACACCCTGGTGCTCATCACATTTAATTCCCTAAAAATAGCGCCCGGCAGAATGTGAGCTGTGCGCCATTCGAGCATAGCTGGGATACAGGCTGTCCTCTACATAAAGATAACATATGATGGGGAGGGAGGGAACACAGATTGCGCGTGTGTCGGAGAGTGAGTGTCTGTTGCGCGTCTTGGAGAGCGCAGAGCGCACAGCAGCACCGAGCCATGTAACGTGAGCGCTCGCCCAGCCACCTGCTCCGACTTGGACTCGTCTTACCCAGAAGAGAAAGTTGAGCGCGTAGAGCAGACAGCGCAGACACTTCACCGAATCCTCCCGGGCCATTCTGAGCGCACCAACTGCTCGCCAAAAGACCTCATTTTAACTTCTGCCACCACGGCACCATAACCGCTGAGGAGAAAAGTCAGTTCGAAAATTGCGTAAAGCATTTTTAAAAGTTTAACAATCGTACAGCTTGCTTGAGATGTCATGTGGAACACATCACTGCTGCAGAAACCAGTCTAAATGGGTTGCTGGTCTTAATTGGTCTTCCACCTCAGACTGAACTAAAGTGGTTTTGCACACTCAGCTTTAAACTATAGCTAAAAATCAGCTTAAACCATTTAAGACCAGCTGGCTAGGCTGGTAGACCACCTTTGACCACAGAAGAACATCTGAAGACCAGCTTTGCCAGGCTGGAGACCAGCTAAGTGCATGTTAAGACCATCTGAAGACCAGTTTGGCCATTAGGCTGGTTTAGGATGTTTTTACAGAGATTTTTGAAATCATACCATGTCATAAGTCCTTGTGCGCGTTCAGCTCGCATCCAGAATGTATTGAAATGGTGTTATAAATATCCGTGGGATGTTTAGGAAGCAGCATGTGGTTTTAAAAAGAGCAAGTTGCAACTTTCTCCTCTCCGACGGCTATTAAATTCACTTTGACACTTTTCACACCAAAAAAAATCCATGGCGTATCCAAAAAAGACAAAGAAAAACGCTCAAGGGAAGGCACTACACAGACGAACACTTTATATTTTGTCCAGCATGAAGTTGCAGGAAACTCCTCAAACTTAGTTGCGCCTGCAATGAAAAATCATACTTGTATTCCTAACGGAGCTGCGCGCAACAGCCGGGCGTTTTCGCTGCGATCCATTCAATGCCACTGTCATTCCAGGCGTTATATACTCCAGTCAGGGCCAGCTGTGTGCACCTCGCCTTTCCACAAGTGTTGTGTTTAATTTGTGCTTGTAAGAGACTTTTCACTCCAAACGCGCGAGTGTCATCCGGAGCAGCGGTGCCTCCGGGTCCTAAAGGCAAACTCAGAGACATCATATCCATCCCGATTATGGCAAGCCTTTTTAACATTTATTCATATATAGACCAACTTGTATCTATATGGAAGCTAATTTACGCAGCTGAATAAAGAAAGAAAGAAATAAGTTAATTCCAACTTTTTATCTCACAATTCGGACTTTTTCGAAATGTTACAATTGTTTATATCTCACAAGTCAAACTTTAATCTTACAGTTCTGAAATATAAACTCAGAAATGCAAAAAAAACAAAAAAAAGAATTGTGATATAAAAAGTTACAATTATCTTTATTTTTGTGTATTTTCGCCATTGAATTCTAAATGAATCTATGGTTCAGATGTCAACTATTCACTTCAGAATAGTGAATATTTTAATTGTTGCTAGTAGTTTTACTGGTAACTATACAACAGGTATGCTTAATTTCATTAACATAAAAATGCTAAATACTAGTATTTCTTTTCTAGCTGCTATAACTCCCACATATCCCAGCTACTAATATTACATGCTAGCGTGCTTTAATCTAGTATTCTAGTTTTATTTATATTTTTAAAAAACACTTAGAAGTAAAATGCTCAAGAATAAACTTGTTCATTGCACAATTATGTCATTTCTACTAAATAAATATTTAGTTTTTTGATAACAGAGTAGTAATTCTATGAAGAGGAAACATTGTGAATAAAGTATAGTTTTCAGGGGCCTCATTTATAACACATACATAAAATTAGATTTGATCCTAAAATCCATGAATTTCATCCTACGTCAAAAGTGAGGGGAAAAAATTGGAATTCATAAAAGCAAAAACTGATGTAAAAATGTTTATGTATATGCCAACTGTAGAGCATGCATACAAACTTTTGTGCTCATATATATATATATATATATATATATATATATAAACAATCCAACATTGTTTATTAAGGTATGAAAGATGTAAAGATCACAAAATAATCATAATATGCATTATTATGCACCCATTGTATTTCTCCAATTAGGGACAAATTGGGCCTGCTCCTTTTTCGGTGCCTTATATTAATTATAATATGCCATTCTACCCACTTAATCTGTTTCTATGCTCACAAATGCATGCATCAGCAGTGCTTGGCATGTATCCAGATCCCCGCCCCCAAGATATCATATGCCGGGGTGAAGAGGCCAGATCTGATGGGCGTATTATTGTCTTGAGAAAGACTGTCACAATCTGCTATTATCTGGGAATGTGTTGATGAATATTACTATGCTGCAGCTATACTGGTACTAATTTATATCAGAGTGTCCATGTAAATATTAATTTACAAAAGGATTAATAACTATAAGTTTATTAATATGTTGTTTTAATGAATCCATAACATTGGGCAAGGAAAAGACTTGCCCTTTACATTGACTACTATTACAGCACTTCTTCATTTAGTTCTCTCACAAAGTGGCCTATATTCTAACACTCTGGGTGTAAATATTTCATATTTGTAATAGTTGGGTTATTAAATATATTAATTGCTAAACATTTTTCAAGACTTGAAAATTACTCATTAAATAAAAAAATCAAAGTAAAACTATACGTTCGTTCACAAGCACACAGCATGCAAAACCAATATAGTCTGCATTGTTTTATTTGGAGCATCCTAACTGCTGACTGATTGATATTATTTGATATTCTAGTGTGCAAATATAGCACCAGGAAACTCAGATGAGAAGCAATATAAAAAGACAACTAGAAATAGCTTTCAAACTGCCACAAATGCAGATGGAACAGTCATCAGAGGAGCCACATTTTCTGTTTATGAGCTCGAGCATATTTTTATTTGATCTAAATTGAGAGCTGAGGTCCAATGTCACTTTGCGGAACACTTCTTGTCTACAACTGTGTGGTAATTTTGTCTTTGAAATTAAAGGTTTTAATGGGATGTTTTATAAAAGCCTCCACCACAATGAGTGTCTATAATGAGTGTGGGGTCAAGCTGAGGTTTTTTCCTCTCAAGAAACAGCTGGGTAGTTACATTGTCTTCCACGGGCAAATTTCTAGTGGTATGTGTTACAAAAGACACACAGACAGCACCAAATTGTAACTGTCTAGAGCAAATGTGTGAACTGTCATCAGGTATTGCAGTCAGTGATGCCCTCCAAAGGCCAAAACTGAAACCTGTCAAATGAGATACTAAACAGAAGTTGCAAGGGTTGTGTGTGTCTGATAACCATGATGAGGCGAAATTTAAAGAACATCATATTTTTCAAGTTTAAGTTATACAATAATATTATTTAGTAACTGAAGAAAACGGGTGAATAAAGATTATATTCAAAAATATTATTTTCTTCAGAAAATCTTTCTGAGGTTTCATTATCATTATACACACCGACACAAGCACATATAAATAAATAAATACATGTATATATTAGTGTACATATTAATAATTTGAACTACTAATTTAGCCATATTTACAGTATAATTATTACAAGGACAGTCGTTCTTGACAGAATGATGTCAGGTAATATTTGCCCAGGTAATCTTTCACACCAAAAACCAAACACACACACACACACACACACACACACACACATGACAAACTTAAACCTGCAAAAGATTTCCACAAATGACAAACAAAATTGAAGAAGATCAGAAAAATAAATAGATACATACATACATACATACATACATAAACAGGAGTGGTTGACATAAACATAACCTGCAAAAAAGATTACCACAAACCAGAAACAAAATTAAAGAAGACCAAAAAAAAACAAACAAACACTGGAGTGGATACAGAGGTAAGTGTCTCTTTTGGCCCCCTGACAAATTTTCAGTTGTCAGTCCAGAACAGCTTTGAGTGTGTCCTAAATAGAGGTCTGTCTCTGTCAGTCTGTACACCCAAGGGACCATGAGCATCAAATAGAGAGGGAGAGTTTGACAGTGTGGGGGACAGTTTGACTTCATTCTGTTCATTGATTCAAACAGAAGTGACATTGTCAGGCAACGTGTGTCTGTTTTTAAGTGTTTGTTTACATACGTCATACAGGCAGTATGTGACTTTGTATGAGAGAGACAAAGAAAAAAATTGAGTGAATTTAAAACGGAGTATAGAAAGTGTAATCTTTTGGACACACACAGACACACACATGTTGTGTTTCCATGTTTTATGGGGACATTCCATAGGCGTAATGGTTTTTATACTGCAGAAACTGTATTTTCTATCACCCTATACCAACCCTACACCTAAACCTACCCCTCACAGGAAACTTTCTGCATTTTTAGATTTTTAAAAAACTTCATCCTGTATTTATAAGCTTGTTTCCTCATGGGGACCTAAAAAATGTCTCCACAAGGTCAAAATTGACTGGTATTACTATCCTTGTGGGGACATTTGGTCCCCATAACGTGATAAATACCAGGTACACACACACACACACAC